GCGGCCGGGCCTCCCCTGCACCTTGGCGGGCTGTCGCCCACGCCCCCTCCGCTCACGGTACCCTGCAGGGCCACGTCCACGCGGGCCTGCGTGTGGACACGCGTGGGTGCAGGAGCCCGCTCGAATGAGCACACGCTGCACACACGCGCCCACACAGAGGGAAACGGGAGCCAGGCTCGCCCCCGCTCAGCCCAGGCACGTGCACACGTGTGTGCAAACAGGCACGGGGATGCCCACACACCCGGCCTGGAGCTCCAAGGCCAGCGGAGGGACACAGGGCTCCCCCTCGGTGATGTCGTCGGGGACCGGCTGGGGTGGACAGGGCGGGGGCGGAACGCCTCTAGGGCTGGCCTCCCGGGCTGGCCCCTCACAGGCCTGTGCCCAGCCCAGCCTGTCTTCTGGGCTCAGCGAGGCCTGAGTTCAAATCCCGCCTTACCGCCTCTGGGCCGTGTGGCCTGGAACAGCCACACAGTGTGTCTGCCTGGGCCTCAGCGTCCCCTCTGTGAAGCCGGAGTGCACAGGCTTCCTGCGCCCGGGCACACCCTGTACGTGAGCACTCGGGGCTCGGCCGGGGCCGCCTTCTCCCCAGGCTTGTGTGCCAGAGCTACGGGGACCGGGCTTGATGGGGGCCTGCCCACCTCTCTCTCTTCTGTTGTATTCCTGGGGCTGGTTCCCTTCCGAGTGATGGCCTGTCCCCTCCCTGTGTCCCCAGCCACCCCACCGTCCCTTAGGGGTGCGTGTGCGGCCTTCAAGCACACAGCTCCAGGTCGCCAGCAGGAGGCCCCACACTTGCTCCGAAGTGTCAGAGCGCACACACTTCCTGCAGGCCGGGTGGTGGGGTCGTGACACCAGGCCGCGTCAAGGCGGGGAGGCCGTGGTGGGTGACACAGAAACAGGAGCATGGCGGCGGGGCGCCAGTAAAGGGGGCCGAGGGCCGGTTAACTGGGGCCGAGATCACGCCTCGGTCACCGGCAGCTTTCAGTTCGAACTCAGTCCCCGGCGCAGCCTGTTGTGGGCCGTGCTCGGAGGTGCTCATTTGGGAACTCCGGGACCCGACGTCCGGCCTCGGTCACGAGCCCCCGTGACGGGGGTTACATTGTCTGCAGCCCTCCCCCGGCACTGCCGCACCTCCAGGACAGCTTATTCACGGGCTTATTCACGACAGTGCACACGGGCGCCTCTGATGGGGACGACGAGGCGGGCCCTCCACGGGGTCCGGTCATGCCGCCCGCCCTGCCCCAGCCCTGCAGCTTGTCAGGGTCCGGGCTGTTTCAGGGCGGCCCGGGATCCGAACCCACGGCCCGCCAGGTGGCCGCCAGCACCGCAGACCTGTATGAGCTGCCAGCGCGGAGGCCAGGCCCCGAGCTCGCTGTCACGGGGAGGCTCGTGGGCTCAGACGCCGCGCTGAGGGCTTGGGGGTCTCTGCCAGGTGCCCCGCAGCTGCGCCCTCCTGCTGCCTGCCTTTCCGTCAGGTGTCCGTGGTGGGTGCGAGGGTGGGGTGGCAGCCCAGGCTGCCGTGACAGAGGGCGCAGGCGGGGCTCACAGCTCGCGGGGTGCCGGCAGGGCCGGTCCCTCTGCTCTGCTCGTAGGTGGTGCCTCCCCGTGTCCTCACGCGGCCGTCCCTCTGTGCGGTCTGCGTCCCGATCTCTTACAAGGACGCCAGGCCTGTCGGATTAGAACCCCGGCGGCCTCCTTTCCCTCTCTCCCTGCGGTAAAGGCCTTATCTCCAAACACAGGCGCGCTTGGGGGTCCTGGGGTCAGGGTTTCCACAAGGGAGTGCGAGCCGAAGGGACTCATTCAAACAAGGGGCTGGTGGGGATTCGAATTTGCAGCGCGGCGGCGGCCCCCACCCCCACCCTAGGGATTCTCTGCCCCCCCGAGGATGGCAGACGTGAGCAGAGCTCAGGCTGGGAGGAGTCAGACCCAGAGAGGCCCGGGTCTGGGGAATGGCAGACGTGGAGCCCAGCTGCCCCCAACCCCACCCTGGCGTCAGCTCCAGCCCCCTGAGGCCACGCCTGCATCTCAGTTTGCAGAGCCCTCGGTTTGCAGAGCCCTCTAAAGGAAGCAGCAGCACTCAGCTTGAGCCTAGGAACGTGGGGGCCAGGCCCTCCTGGGACTGACTCCTCCTCCTGTCTCCTCCCACACCTCACTGTCAGCAAGCAGAGCTGCGGGACTGCAGGCCCGGCCCCTCTCCTGGCCCCTGGCGTCGGCCGCCGTGCACTGACGGAGGTCCTGCTGTGGGTCAGGCCTGCGTGGGCGCCCGGGACATGCTGGGGACCCACACACGGCCTTAGTAAGCGTTGGACACTCCTAAGAAGTCACCTGGGAGCCCGGAAGGATCTGAGTGTCTGTGACGAGGGGCATGGGCCAGTCCCCGAGGCGAAGTTCAGTAAATCCATAGAGGCAAGGACAGGAGGCCCTGGTCCAGACAGAAGGGACAGCGGGGACAGGCGACCCCGGGGGGGCACAGTAGTCTCGAGGACGTGAAGTCAGCCTGGAAGGGCGAGCTGGGGGCCTGCGATGGGGCTTCCCCGGGCGGGGGTTTGTAGAGAAGGCCCCTCGCCCCTGGGCTGCCGTCCACTAACCCGGGGTCGTAACTCGGCGCGTGGACATTAGGGCCAGGCCTCCGCCCGCGGGGTGGCGTCCCGGGCTTCCCCACTCCGTGCCAGGAGCACCCTGCCCCGGCAGTGACAACCACAGATGTCCCCGGACCTCACCCCTGCAGAGCAGACTCCCCTGGCGGGAACTGCCGTCCCTGTGGGAGGGGACCCTGCAGAGGACACCCGGCTGGAGCGGCCCCCACCCACGTCCCTGAGCCCGGGCCTGGCCAGGTGGCTGTGCCGTCACCAGGCCTCGCCCCGTGTCTCCCGTCTCCATCCGCAGAGGACCAGCTGCCCCCCGGCTTCCCCAACATCGACATGGGCCCGCAGCTGAAGGTGGTGGAGCGCACACGGACGGCCACCATGCTGTGCGCGGCCAGCGGGAACCCCGACCCCGAGATCACCTGGTTCAAGGACTTCCTGCCGGTCGACCCCAGTGCCAGCAACGGGCGCATCAAGCAGCTGCGGTCGGGTGAGTGCAGGCGGCCGGCGGTGGGAGCCACGGAGGGACCCCGGGAACAGACCCCGGGGACTCAGAGCACAGACAGCGGAGGCTGTCATGACCGCGGTGGGAGGGTGCCTTCAGAGCCGCCCGGTGGGAGCAATGGGGAGCTACGGAGGATGGTAGGAGGAGAGAGTCTCACTTTCCGAATGGCGGGTAGAGACGGCTCCCGGGGAGAGCGGCTCCTCGGCCCAAGGGCAGAGACTCAGACAGCGGTAGGCGACGTGTCGGGGTGTCCGCAGCTCCCAGTGCCTAGACAGAGGGGAGGCGAGCCGTGGAGGGGGCCGGGAGACCGTAGTGGCATGTGAAGGGGTACGGGTGTCCAGTTCATGGGAGCCCTGGGAAGTACCGGGGGGCACGTCCCCTGTGCCCGTCCGGTAAGGGCGTAATGGGGCCTGGACAGGCTGGAGTCAGTGGAGCGGCACGAGGCCCAGGGCTGGGACGCTCCGTGGGCTGCAGATGGGGGAATGGGGAGCTAGCGAAGGTTGCAGGGAGCCAGTGTCCCCGGCGGGAGCAGCAAGGGTGTGAGGAGCGGAGACCAGCAGGGGGCGGCGGCTCGTGCCCGTGATGGGGCCCGCATGTCCAGGCTCTGGCCGGGCTCGGCGACACCAGACGCGCACGACCTGGCCCACGGGGACGGGGGGACTCCGCGGTGGCATCTCGGCCTCACACCCCCGTGCCCCTAATGTGAGTCCTCTGTCGGGGGCTGAGTGTGCTGTCGGGAGATGTCCCTCGGCTCCGTGACGTGTCTGCCTGTATGTCCATGTCCCGGCGTGTGTCCCGCGGTCCCTCCCGTGCGCACACACCCACGCCTGCACCGTGCTGGCGCCTGTGCGTGGGTCACGTGGCAGAGCGTGTCTGTGCACACCCGCGGGCGTCTCAGTGGGTGGCGAGGCCTCGCGTGGGTGCACATGCGTGTGTGTCTGTGTCGTGACGTTTTTGTTGTGTTCGTTCAGAGCTTGGGGTCTCTCCGTTGTCCTGACCCCTGTGGAAGACCCCGTGCCCCATCCTCGCACACCCGTCCCGTCCCTGCTTTCCGAGGACCCCAGCCTAGAAACCCCTCCCCGGTGCCAGCGGGCGGCGTGGTGGTTGGAGCACCGCCCTCCCACGTGGCTGACTGGGGTTCAAATCCTGGACCTGGTGTCTTGAAAACCACACGGGGCCCGTGCCCCACACCCCAGGAAAATAGAGAACAGAGAAGGGACTGTGGCGTGGCCATGCCGCT